TAGATGCAGGTAAATAACCAATTTAGCCTCTAAAAGATCCTTTAGTTTCCGTATGCCCATGTTTGTCAATCTGGTTGAAGGTTTAGAGAGTGAGGTTTGGTTCCCATTCAATACATATAAACTAGGGTTTATGCGGGATGGGGCCATAAAGGTTTTGCTTGGAGAAGACTGCTGTGAGTTGTGTCGACTATGGACAAGCACTTTTAGGAGATTCAACGGCTTGAAGTTTGATGAGCGTAAGTTGAAGATGATTGTGGAGTTTGACAGCATAAGCAGTAGCGAGTCATTTTTGCTCTTGGCAGTGGATGCAACATTGGCCTTCTCTCAATTGTTTTGGTCTTGGAATGTATGCAGAATGTGTTTCTTCTCTAATTCACTTCATTCTCGTTATTATCTTGGTAACACAAATTTTTTGGTTATGGAGATTGTTCACATAATCCAGAAATATAATCAACTATTAATCAGAAACGAGAAACCAGAAAATTCAAACCAGAAGCTATGAAGCAGACTTAAGTCCTTGACACCTTTTTGGTCTAGTGGATCAGCTTAGTTGCCCTTTATGCAAACTCATAACATTGTGCCTACTGAATCTAAGTTCTCTACACCTTTAGTTCAATCTTCTTAGATATCTTATTTCAACCTTTTCTTATAATATGCAGCTATATGCTCGCAGGCACTTCTTTTTCCCCCCACTGAATATTGAAGAATATAACGATCGTGTAACAGCAGTAGTGCGTTGTGAAGCACAAGTATGTGATCTCCCTATTTCATGTCGATACGGGAGGTTCTTTATTTTTAAAAAAAAAATGTCGATACTTGAGGTTCTGAAGCATGTTACTTTTTTTGATTATGTGTATATTATTTTCACGTTGAAAATGCATGTGTTGCAGGTGTGCTTTGTATGTCCTGGTTGTCATTCTATCCTTCTTAAGTTAGAGGAATGCTGTTTACTATCTTTCCCATCCAACTGCTTCATTTAGAGGAATGAAGCAGAAATCTAATGGGAGAAAAATCTCTGGAGATTGCTACTATTCTTTCCTTATCATTTTGATATAATTTTTCAGTTGAAAGGTTCTTCTGATTTTGGAGAAAAGTAACTTTTTATTTTCCAAAATATTCCCTTTTGCTTTTTCTCCTTTTTTTTTTGGTTTCCCTTACAATAAAAGGACAGTAAATTTTCTTCATTCTCTTTAAATTATTTGGATAATTAGATTTCAATTGGAAGCAACACTATTCCAATTTACTGATCCTTTATGCTTTGAGTTGCTAAGAAGATCTTTATGCTTCAAGATTAATATTGGGGATTTAAATAATTTATTTAAAAAATTCACACATGTTTTTCACTGAAAGTTTACTTTTTGTTCACAATGTTATTTGGTTCAAATCTGTTCTATTATCATAGATCTTAACTATTCGATATAAGAAATTTCATCATACCTTACCTACTTGATGGTAATTAAACCACCTTCTGTCATATTTTTGATTTCATAATCATAGACTTGGATTCCCTCGTAAAGAAATTATAAAAGTACCTCTTATATTGGACATACAATTGACTTTAAATTGTCGTTTTCATTCAAATCTTTGTCGTGATTTATATTGAATTTTCATTCTTATCACATAACATTGGAACTAGAACCTAGTATTTTCTATGGTATTTTATTAAATTGTACTTGGTGAATTTTGTGCTTGTTTATGTATGTAAAAACTTCTCATACTTATGTATGTTTTGTTCAGGATGCATTGCTCCAGAAACTTCTTAATGATAATTACTTAACAGAAGAAGAAAGGTTAGTGCAAGATTTTAATCTACATCTATTATTTTCAAAACATTTTTGTTTTCTTTTCAGAGGATCAAGATATCATAAAGCTTTTAATACATTTTTGTATTCATTTGGTCTGTGAAAAGAGTCGTCAACCATTTGAAATAATATTCATCTTGTAGGGCCATTCAGAAGAGATTTATTTATTAAATGTATAGTTGGATCATGGGAAAGCTAGGGGCTCAAGATCTGGTGCTTTTATTCCAAGTGCCTGATCCCTTACTTAAGAAATTGATACCTTTGTACTTCCCTGTAAGTTTCATAATTTAAACTGAAAGGTTTCTAGGTCAGAAAATAAGGATTAAGGGGTTCATAAACTCAACAGAAGAGTGGTTATGTATGATATATAGATGCATATGTATTTTTTCTTGGAAGATATCGAGAGTTTTTTACATGGAAAAAGGTATAATTTAGAATCTTCACTCGAGAACTCTGAATAGATGAAGAGCTGAGGCACCTGATTGCTATTTGAATTAATGTTATCTGGTGGCAGTAAGAGACGATTCAGAGGAACCTTAAAATCTTTTATCATTTAGATTTCCTTATCAGATAACCTTGGTAGAATATTGTGGACATCGTATGAGCTTTAACTGATATAACCAGTAAACTTGTGACTGATTTGATATTAAGCTCTTCTGGACCTCAGCAAAGCCTTTGGGCAACAATCTATAGTTGATACCATAAAATGTTTTTGCCAATTTGTTTCTTAAAGGAGTTCTGAATGGTTATAAACATGGCCTAAGGTTGGAGTATTATGGAGGGGCTGAAACCTGTGGGAAAATATGGTAGGACTTCAAGACAAATTCCTATTGTATTCTGTAACCCGTGGCTGTTGTGTAGTTAAAAAAGGAATGGCATGCTGTCAGATAAGTGGATTTCATCAGTAGCACAAACCTTGCTAAGTGGATCTCATTAGTAGCACAAATCTAATGGATAACAAGATCAGCTTGAAACTTTTATGTAACTTTTGCCACTTCTGCTATTCTCAGTTTTATGAATTTTTCACTGCAGGAATGTTCTTCGGTGGGGAAAGAATATAGGTTCAGCTAAAACACGATCTAGAAAACGTGCTGGAGTAGCAGTTTATAACAGAGCATCATCACTGGAGACACTAGTAGGTGACCATGTGCCTGCATATGATAACCACAATAATGTTATTGGATTGTATATTTGGATCTCTATTTTTCTGCATTTACTTTTTTGCACTTTAACGGGCAGCGACCAACAAGTTAATCTCATGCAACATGGAGCTGGTAGTTAGCAAATAAAAATAAGACAGGAATATATTAGTTATTGTTATGTTATACACTTACTGAAATGGATACATGTGACTTTATGCTGTCTGGCAGTAATCTGTGAATACATGTTTCTTAAAGAATGTTTGGCTTGCCTTAAAATATAAGTTTAAATGTCATAGTGCTTCTAAGCCCTTGAACAACTCAGATGTTGGAAGGTGCTTTTTTTTTTTCCAAATAAGCTCTAAAATATCTGCCTATCACAAACTTATGAGCAGTTTCTGTTGATTTATGTGTTTGTTCAAGATATAACTTACAAGCTCTTAATTCTACCAAATGACATGAAAGGATCATTTGTGCTGGAATAGATCAGATCAGGATTATGTAAAGGACACGGAGATGAAATTTTTAATTTGTTAAGATTATTTTGATATCTTATTTGGTTAGCACCCATATTTTTTTAGAAAGTTGTAACTTAAACTCAACAAGTTTCTAAAATACCACGCAAGAACTTATAAGGTATTCAAACATGGAATAAAGCTTAAAATGTTGTTAGAGATCTTATAAGCTTATGTGGGCAAAAAAATAAATAAATAAACTGAGCCTCACACCTTAAATTTTCACCTAATTCACTTGATTTTAACATTCTTTACTAGAAATCACCAGCCATTACTTGGTGTCCAGCTCAATTTCTACTTGTTGATTGATCTAATGTGTTGGTTGTGATTTTTCTAGATTGGTTTTCTGTACCTGACAAATGTAAGTCGATTGGAAGAAGTCATGCTAAAGCTGGGATTTTCAACTGGATCTTCTACTCAAGACATTTTAGAGGAAGGGAATAGTAAGTTGACAGTTTCCTATGGTAATGCAGTGTTTTTATGGTAGTAGTAGAATTTAACATACAAGCATCTTTCCTACTGATTACCGGATGGAAGACTGCCATGACAGCAACAACTTAACTATGTGCTGCTTCATGCTATGCTATCTTAGTAATTTTCTGCAAATCTTTAGTTGAGCTCTAGACAATACAACTTTTAAGTGCTATAACTTAAAAAATGTGCTGCTAAATTTTGACATACTTGACATGAATATTTTGTTGCCTAAATAACCACGATATTTTTACCTATATAGCTCTATCATTAATTTTTCCAATAATGATTGTAATTATTTAAAATCCCTACTATAAACATAGTTTTATTGTTTATACGTAGAAATTCTTGTATATATATGTGTGATATGTAACACAAGCAAGTGTGAAATAAAGTAAATATTTTTTTCCAAATTCTTCATGGTATCAAAGTAAAATAAGAATATTTTAGGGTTTTTTTAATTTTAGGATTTCTTTCAAATTGTAAAATATTCTCACCACCTACCCAGACGAAGTCCTAGCCTCACCGGTGGCCTGCCGCCCTATTTTGGTGGTCTTCTCCACCCTACCTGATCCCTCTGCTCCAGTCGCATCTGGCTGTTCGCGCTGCTTCCTCGTGCACAACCTCTAGTTTGTGTTGCCTCCTTCTCTGGTTCGCGTATACCTGACCTGACCCTCTGGTTTGTGCTGCTTCCTTCTCTGGTTCATGCACACCGGACCGGACCCTCTGGTTCGTGCTGCTTCTTTCTCTGGTTCACGCACATCCAACCCAATTTTCTGGTTCGTGCCAATATCTGGTTCCTTTGCATACGACCGCTGCTTCTTCGTCGGGTTCTTTTGCGCACGGCTGCTGGTTTGCGCACGATGTTCGGTTCCTTCACACGCAACTTCTGGTTCACGCACAGCTTCTGATTTGTCGGGTTTCCTCAGCCACTCCTCTAGGTTTTTCAGTTTCAGCTTCTGATTCAGCTTCCGCTTCCCTCACTCAGCTTCCGCTATTTTCTGTTGTTCCAGTAAGGGCAATTCATCGGGTTTTTGGTTTTCTTTTGCTGTTCGGCCTCTGTTTTTTTGTGATCTCTTATTTCGTTTCAGCAAGGGCTCTCTCTCTTTTTTTTTTTTATATTTATTATTCCGTTCCAACACGCACTTTCGCTTTTGTTTCCAAAAATATTCTCTGGTCTCGCAGCAATTTTTTTGGCCTTTGTGGTGTGTGGGAGGTTTGTTCTATCTTTGTGATATTCAATACTAGGTATTATTTTTTTCTTGTTGCTAGTACTCAAACATGACAGAAGCAAAGAAATTAATTGTTCTTAATTCTGATAACCCATCACTATAAATAAGTCTCGTAAAGTTTGATGGAAATAACTATCTTGTTTAGTCAAGATCTTGTTTACTGTTTATCAAAAATAGAATATTGCAAGGTTATATTACTAGTGACAAGAAGAAATCAAATATCAGCAGTTTAGAATATAACAGATGAGACTCTGAAAATTCCTTTGTGATGTTTTGACTCGTCAATTCCATGCAACCTCACATTACCTTACCATATCTGTTGCTCAATATTTTAACAAAAATATGGAATGCAGTGTCTCTTACATACTCACAAGTGGATAATGATGCTCAAATTTATGAAATTTGTAATAAAGTTCACAACACAAAGTAAGGATAAATGACTCTTTTTCAATATTTTTCTGAACTTAATGGACTATGACAGGAGTTTGATTACTATCAAGATTTTCAGATAGATTGCCCTGAAAATGCAGTCAAATATCAGAGAATGAGAGAATCTATGATTTCTGGACTGATCTAGATGTCAAATATGATCAGATACGAGTCCAGGTACTTGGTAAAGCTCACTTTCTTTCATTAGAATAAACTTATTCTTATGTTTAGTAAGAAGAAAATATAAAAAAATATCATGCTCCACATAGCACCAGTCGATAAAGCTAGGTTAGTTGTTCAATCTAATCACTTAAAAAACCAACGGAATTGTGACTGTTGTGGCAAGTCGAGACGCACTAAGAAAACTTGTTAGAAATTGCATGAACGAGCTACTAGAGGCCTAGGGGAAATGAAATGTGGATTAATGAGAGCTCAAGCAAACTCGATTGAGACAAGTGAAGTATCTGAGACACTAATAGTTGGAGCTTTTTCAACCAAAGAGATTCAAAGTTTTAAAGTATATTT